GAGGAATAAGCAACGAAATCTGCTATTGGACAGTAGATCTAAGTTGTTCGGTGGTAGTTCCTGCTGGAAAAAAAGGAGGCCAATAACAGAAAGAACAACACAATATGTGCAATGAAGATGTTCGCCACATGTTCCTAAGTTATAAATACGACACTTGAAAAAAAAAGGATGATGCAACGCTCCTAAAATAAAAATCAGAGAAAACATCTCCAAAATACATAAATAAAGTCAAAAATCTCAACAAAAAAAACTCATAAATAGGTCCCTAATAGCAAGAAATCTAATTAGAAATAACAAAATATGAATAAATATTAGACAAATGAAGGAAAAGAAAAAGAACAAAAATGTTGAAATAGTAAACCAATAAACCCCCGTCCTACGATAGGCAAGACTATCTCGTGAGCTCGCTGAATCCGGGATTATGCAATCCCATAAAAAAATGGAATTTCCATCGCTCTTGTGTCATTCTACAGGGTTAGGAGAGGTTTCTTCTTCTCTAGAAGGAATTGGATCATGTCTAGTCATTTGTTCGTGAGTTTGGTGTTGAACTAAATTGAAACTTAGTACTCAATTTTTCCATACAGTACTCCAAAAATAGCTCAAAAATTTATCTTCTATCTAAAGCGATGACATGCTGGACCGCTCTCAACGATGGTTGCCCTACATATGTTATCAGTTCCGCCAACGCATCGCCTGTTAGGACAATCAATACTAGTCCCAATAGTACTTTTCTCAACACTTGCGAAAAGAGAGTTTGTGATACCACGTCCTCAAATACTTAGGACTCCTTCCAAGGCAAAAGTATAATGTGCTTCTCATCTTAATAAAAAGAATGTCCCTATGGCCATACTAATATGTGCAACAATCATACTGCCAAGGATGACCAAGAAATACATGACACATCTATACGGACCATAACACATCACACTTGCTCCAGAAACTTATCTTTGATGGAAAATTCTACAAGACCCTTATGACACTGATCTTACCGCCCCTTCAACCAAGTCATAAAATATGGTTGAGAATAATTCAGAGTAATGAGGCTCAATTTGACCACCAGTTCTGTAAATGTCCTATTTTCACAACTATATTTATATATAATGAAACTACGCACATTTTCCTAAATGGTACAACGGGTATAAAAAAAATTGTGGCAAATTGTTCTGTCATGAGCTCAATCTGAAAGACTAGTCCGATTATTAGTTTCTCTCTCTCATCAACTAGAAGCTAGTAGTTTTGACTTATTCATTCTCTCATGTATTACTATCGACTTCTTCTGTTGTCTCCAGCTCAACGAATGACATAATTCTCATATTTGGCTAGGAATAGATTGAAGAGTACTGACGATCTCCACCTTCTCTCCACTCTATACAGGTTTCTCCACTGGCAAAGTTGATTGGGTGCTCCATTAATCGTGCACTTGCTACCTGATTTGATGGTTGAACCCTATTTCAGGGATGATGTGGAACTGATATTGGCGCGTTGTCTCTCCACCTTTAGGGATAGGTTATAGACATTCTGTAATATCCAATATGGTTATAATTGTACTATGTTACCAAAAAATGATTTTAATACCACCAAATATCTAGCTATGATATTCTCATTGGGCTCTTCTAGCTCACACTTCCACATAAACAACTCAAACTCAATTGTGTGGTCCTCTACTGAGAGATATGTATGTTGTAAGTGATGAAATCTCCAGAACACATCCTGTCTGTAATATGTTGGTAAGAACTTTCATTGATTCTGTCATTTCTTCTTTAGACCAAATAGTGATTTTATTTTTTTCGCTCATACTGGTATAAGCACATCAAATTTTTAGATTGTAAAGAAGCATCCTTAAACTTAAAAGCAACTAACTTGACACTGTCAGGTGAAACGTTTTTATACTTGAAAATATGTTCCGTTGTTTAGAGCCACTCGATAAATTTGCCTAGATTCATGTGACAATCAAAATCTGGCAAGTCAATCTTCACATCAAAATTATGACTTATCTGAAATTATATGCCAAATCGTCAAAGTATTAAATACTTCATCAATAGAAACTACATGGAGAATGAGATTCACTTCCTTTCAATCTGAAAAATCATCGTTGTGATTGATGGATGACCTCACAAGGTTATTTCTCTTTAAAGGTGATAAGTCTTTATTGCAGCTGGAGGATTTCTCATTGCATATCCTCCATAATGATGTGAACAATTTTTTGAAGGTTTCTCCTTCGCGGCACGGTTACACATTCTTCCAATGTAAGTTTCGATGCAAAAGAGAAATGCAGCTTAGGGCTAGGGTTGTGGTTAGTGTTAGAAATTGGTTGAATGCTTAGAATTTTGATGGTAGGTATCACGGTGAACTTTTTGTGAAGGTAGGAAGGTTGAATTTTATAAATTTTAGGTTTATGGCTAAAAATTATGGTAGAACGGGCTAAGGTATCGAGTTGATTGACGATTTAGATTTTATGAATTTTTTGGGTAGGCGTAGGAACAACAAATCTCTAAAAATTTATGGTTCGTCAGGCTTTGATACTATATGATACAGTTCGAGGGCTCCTAAAATGTGTTTGAGAAGCGGATTTAGAGTGGAGGTGGTTGGAAAATAGCAAAGGAATAATAATATGAGAGGCTGACGGCATTCGGAGGGGGATAAACGACAAAATCTATTGTTAGAAAGCAGATTTGGAGGTCTTTTAGATCATGTATGGCTGGACTTTTGAGATGCGTGGAATGTGGAGGAATCAATGAAGAAAGTTTGAAGGTCTCTAGAAGAGAAACATTTAAAGCTAAATAATCTCAAAAAAATAGGCACAATCTTAAACCCACAAAGAACCAAAGAGAATTTCTCCACTAAAATTTCTGATTCGTAGCTAAAGATTTACAACACATATCAAACCACATTTACAGGCATTACTAGACCCTGCACTACCACATTTGGAGGGGTCTTTGCCACTAAATGCTTGAAGTGATTCTAACAAACATCTAATACAAACCAGATTCCATGCAAAATACATTCAGTTGACCGGCCAAACATGGCCCAAAGATAAAATAAAAATGTAAATACATAAAAAAGAAAAATTACATTGAAATAGATATAAAATGGGTCTTGGCTATGGTCCTTTGTTATTGGAATTCTGCTTGCTTGGGCATTTACGCTTGCTCTTCTAATTGATATAATAGGTTAATCCATTTGATGTGCTACATCAACAATGGTATAAGAAAACTAGATTTCTTTACCCATGCAGAATAACCATTGCAAGCTATCAGCTTTAATTTCTTGTTAGGATGACTTGGGACTTTTCAAGGGCATGACTTATATAGCAGTGGTGTGTTATAGGTTTTAAAATAACTAATTTTTTACTTTGCACAATGGTTGTTAATGCTTCCATGTAGCAAAACTTCTTTCGCAATGAGACTGTTCTCCCACACCGTCTTCCCGCTTTTATTATGTCTCAGAGACTTGAGGTTTGCCCATTATTTAAATTAATTTCAATAAAAACTTTTGGGGGTCTCCATTGAAGTTTTCATTGACATTCATCTACAAACGGAAAGGATAGAGAATGGATTTTAATAAAAGATTGGGAAAAATAACTTACAATGTCCTATCAAGAATGGTCATAGAGAAATGCATTCTATTTTTACCAATTACTGAATGTATTAATAATGGTTCTATTAATGCATCCACAAGTAAGTGCTCCTCTAAATAGGTCCACTGTTCAAACTCAAACTATAAAGCCCATAAATCCCAACATACATATATATCGATTATATTGAAGAATTTATTATGCATGTATAAATTAAATGCTAACATTAAGATAAATGGGTTTGCAAACTCTAATAGATGCTCAAAAGAAATGTGATCAAAATGAATTTAATCATGAATTAAATCATATTCGCCCAGAATGCTTAATACAGAATGTAAACAAGAAAAACTACGTCAAAGTCTCAAGCCCTTGCTAATAATTTCGAAAGATTTGAACAAATGCATATGCCATTGATTAGTATGCAAGCACACATGGAGATTAATCTAACACCCAAAGTTGAAAATTTGTTGCCGTGAAGATAGCCGCTTAAGTTTCCTATAGATATTTGAAAGTGAAGTTTGAACAAATAGCACCAATTCCGACTAAAATACTAGCTTCAATTATATAAGATGTTAAAACAACTACATTGGGTCTTTCAGACAAGAAACATTGATTTGTTCATTGCAACATTAAATTCCATCCGATGATTCATTGATGTCACATTATAAGTTCTATCATATTTCCTTGATACTTTTTATGGGTACGTAAGCAAAAACTCACTTCAGAGGAGCTTGCTATACCATTTGGAAAATAATAGCGGCCATCCAATCTAGATTTATATGCAGTACCAATAAATGCATTTCATATATATTTTTTTAATATTGCTTGAAGTATCCAAGGAAATTTTAATTTATATTCTTAACTTTCCTCTTAATGCATTCAATTTATATTGTTTTAGAGTTTATCTTAAACAGAGGCATATATGTAATTGTACGTAGTTATCTACACACAAAAAAAATTCAAGGGATCAAATATATATATTTTATAAAAAAAAAAAAGCCCAAGGGCTAATATATTAAAAAAGTAAAATATACAGATAAGTTGTATGAGTAGGCCCAAAAGAAAACACCCAACACACACACACACAAACACACACACACACACACACATATATAGAGAGGAGAGAGAAGAGACGGACCCATTCAAACTCTCTCTATCTCTCTCACAAACCTGAACACCTTCCTCTCTCATTTCACCTTTCCTTTTCTTATATCCCATCATTCTCAAAATCATTAAACAATAATAATATTGCAAGTAAAACTTTACTCAAGTCATGAACAAATTCCATATGAAAACATTTATTTGGAACGATGGTGATCAAGTTATATAACTAAATTCAACTCCGTGATGACAACCTCAAATTTTATTGTACTGCTAAAGAAAGCAAGAAACAACATCAATTTGGAAAAAAAATGATGATACTTACTTGGAAAAATCCAGCTCGATGTTTGGCCATAAAAACATCTGGTTTTAATAATGCATAAAGTTTCTCATAAAACTTAGGATACTCCAAACCATGTTGTGTCATCAGAACAAAGAGACCACTAAGGCCCATGACACTGATGACACCGCCAATGTCATAAGATCTCGTTAAGAAATCACTGTAAAAAGATGAGAATAAAGCATTCAGTCTTGCATCAAATCTGTCACAGAGAGGTCCAGAGAAAAACCAATAAAAATGGTAAATCTCACCATAACATGGCCGGGTTTGACATATAAGGAATCACATTTAGATGGAGAGTAGCAAGAACCTAAAGTTTGAGAACAAATCATTAATGAGCACAAGACAAACAAGGTAGCATGAAAATAAGTAAAGCAAATGAAGCAAAGAAAATTGGATCAAGACTAAACAATAATTGGATCAAATTGCCCACAAAGAAAAATATGATGAGCATTACATAGACTATCCTCTCCCAAAACAGGGCTAACATACAACTTCAATAAAAAATAGAAAAAAACAAGCTTTAAAAAATGAGATAAAATTATTAAGTCAGCAGTACAGGTTCTTATAATTTATGGAATATACTTACATTATTGTAATGAACCTCAAAATGCTCGTAGGTTAAGAAAGAAGAAAAGAATTTAGAGGAGTGATATCCGGCGTAGACTAAAAAAAATAATGGTTAAAAATGACCTCAGATCTTAAAAAAACAAGTTTATTGCTTTATGATAAAAAAGATAAAACAAAATCCACATGCAAAGAAGGATGAGGAAAAAAGGTACTTGAACCATCATTAAATGATCAACCAAAAATAGTTTTAAACGGCATCAGGATTTACCTCCTTGTAAATGTCGAGTGGAAGTGGCAACCCAAGAAAAGATAACCAAGCTTTTGTGAACCTCAGTTTGAATTTCTTGATGATACGAATTGTTGACAACATCTGTAAAAAAACATCGTTCAAAACATGTACAAAAGTGATCGCTATTCCTGCATTACTTTCAACTTAACCCAGCAAAGTATAATTCTGCATGCAAAAGTTAAATTGCTAAGTAATTAAAAAATTAAATATACTTGATAGCAAAATATCTTCTTTTGTAAAGGGAAATATGTCAGGCGGCCAATTTTTTCAGATGAAATTTAGTATTATCATCGAATATAACATTTTTTATTTTACAGCCAACAAGATAGTATAAGAAAGGATAGTTGTATCAGCTTAAGCGCCAAGAGCTTGAATCAAACTGCTTCGATTAAGAAGCATAAGATTTTTATTACAGTTCGGTACCAGTTTATAAAATTGTATCAAAATGCCTGTATGGAGCATATAATTTATAGCATGTTTGAAATAAATTCCTTCTGTTGCATCAAAGCACGTCAATATAATCAGAGGACAAAATGTAAAATCCAATAAGGGTGGACAAAAACCTCGATTGCATGTACTAGAGCTTTACTTGTTCGTTTTGTTTTGATTATTGTACAAGAGAACTTTCCTCTCTTCTTGCTTCTCTTTTGTGTTTGCAAAACCATGTACCGTTTTGCTTTTATTTAATGCAAAATGCAAACTTTCAAGATAGAACCCTCAAAGTTTTCTCCATTTAAAATATATGTCAACATTCTTCTCTGTGATCTCAATCAAGAGTGATTACAGCCCCACAAAACATAAACTTCTATTGCAAAGTGATGGGATGGAATTAATAGTGCAAATAAACGAAATATTAAAACCCATATAAAGATATAAAAATTCCTTGGGACTTGTTCTTGTTTTAATCATTTTCCAAGCAAACCAGATATGAAAAAAAAAAGAAAGAAAGAAAGAAATAAACGCTTTGCACACAACTTTAAGCCAAACCAAATCTTCAAAAAAGAGAAAAAGAAATAAACCCTTCGCACCCAACTTTATGCCAAACCAAACACACAAAAGATTATTTGAATGCACAATTTGGTCCGCCCGTATTTTGCAAAGAATCAAGCAGCCCCATAAAAAAAAAAATACAAATAATGGCCAGAGCAATTTTTAAAGACTACTAACTTAATACTAAATTTTATCATCTTAATGGAATTAATCTGAATGATTCCTTTAAGTGGTTGGATCTCTAATCTGAAATAAATTACCCACTTGGTTCGACAGAAAATTAATAGAAACATGCTCCAACCTAGAAGATATATAGTGGTCATTCTAGCCTTAACCTAAGTAGCAGAATACCAAATATCAGAGATACATAATCGCCTTGAACTTTGCTTATAACAAAAGAGCATATCATCGATGGGAGGATTAGTTAAAAAATTATTACTTTGGCTAATTAAATATTAATTAAATTATTGTGATAATAAATCAGACTTATTAATAATAAACTAAGCTAGGAATGATTTTCGGGAGTTTTGGGATGTGATCTTTTCTCCGTTTGATTACATCATTTGAAATGAAAGTAAAGCTAGATGGTATTCAAAAAAAAGGAAAAAGGATAACCCTTCTTTTATATTATCAATCTTGCTTGCTTTAAGATCCACAATGCTAGAAGGGGAGAAGATGATACAAATCTATAATTCCATGGAAGTGAATCACTTTCCTACTACTCGAGAGCTTTTTCATAAATATTCTTATTTGTGTGTTTCTCCTTTTCCTTTTCAATTGTAAGTGTAATCAATTTTTAATTAACGAGAAGGGTCTCCCAATTTTTATCAAAAGAAAAAAAAAGGCTGATATTGAATATATTAACTGATTAGGGTTTACATAATAATTAGATGTCAAAAGAAGATAATTAATCAGATATTTTAAATTAGTTATAAAATAACAAATAATTAAGATAATAAAATAATCAAATCATAATATTTGATTCACTTTAGTGGAGAATTTCATTAATTTATGAAAAAAATAAAAAATTTACATAATCAACATACGGTGATTATTTATAAAATTAACGAGTATAGCTGGAGTAATATGATCAATTAAATAACTAGCATGATAAATTACATCAATAAACATCCAACTAATGATTGGAATAATAAATTTGCCTAATTGCTCATAAAATGTTTTATTCATAGAGTAATTTGTTTAATTAGTACAAAGGAGTTAGTAGAATATTAAATTTACATAACTTTCTTTAGTTTAATTATTTAATTTAGCAATCTAATTAGTGAGCATGATGTTAAATCATTTTATTAATACAATATAAAAATTTTAGTTTAGCCTACTTTTACTAAAACTCATTATAGATCAATCAAACAAAAAAAATAAAATTTCGTACGAAACAAATGAATATACTAAAATTTACTTGATCAAAACTAATTTTCAGTATCTCATTCCAACCACTTCCAAAAATTTACGTCCGGACAAAGTAGGACTAAAGGTAAAACATATAGCACATGCAGAATTTATTAAGTCGTACTATTAAGGCATTCACCATTACTAAATGTTTTATAGTTTTCCACAAGATAAGTGAGCGGAGCATAATGCAAATTCGTGAAACTCAATCCATAATTTTAGACTATCTTTCCTAGAAGCAAAAGGCAAATGGAGATCAGTGAACTCTCGGGCAGTCCGGGCAATATGGATGGAGTCCACTACATCCTTACAGGATCATGACCCACTTCGAGCGACATAGTCAGCACGATTCCTCCATATGGGGCGGTGAGTCCTCCAAATAAAGTATGCAATCAATCATGCTCCCTCTATTCTATGGAAAAATAAGTATCTTTCCACATTATATTGCCGACTAACAGAGCATTTGCCACCGCCACGACGGACCATCAGATCCCTGCTACTATTGAGGTTGTTCTTGTTGATCCAGCCTGAAAACTGGCAGTAATGAAGGAGATAAATGCTTTTTAGCGGAACCATACATGGGACGTAGTGGACCTTCCTCGCGGTAAGAAAGCTGTAGAATGTCGATAGATTTCCAACACCAAGTTCAACTCTGAAGGGTCCTTTTAACACAACAAGACAAGATTGGTCGCAAAAGAAAAATCACTAACCAACGAAGTTGACTATGAGGAGACATTTGCTCCGGTGGCTAAGTTAAACATTATTCGGGTTCTACTGTCACTTGTGGTGAATTTGGATTGGTTTTTATTCCAACTAGTTGTCAAGAATGCATTCTTGAATGGAGAGCTGCAGAAGAGGTGTGCATGTCTCTCCCTCTGGGATTTGATTCTACTACCTCTAGGGGACAAGTATGTAAGCTACGAAAGTCCCACCAAGGGTCAAAGCAGTCCACAAAGGTGGTCGTGGGCCATGGATTTACCCAGGCTCAATTGGATCGCACCCACTTCTTCCGGCATCACTCCAATTGCTAAGTAGCTATCCTTATTATTTATGTTGATGATATTATTCTTATAAGTAATGATCTCCCAGCATTAGAGTCCTTAAAAGAGAATCTTGCTACATTCTTTAAGATGAAAAAGTTGGAATCTCTCTGGTACTTCTTAGGCATAGAAGTGGCTTAGTCATCTCGGGGAATTTACCTGCCTTAGTGCAAATATGTGATTGATCTCTTGACAGAGAACAATCTTCTTCTATGCAAGTCTGTTGTTGTTTCCATGGATTCTAATGAAAAATTATCTGACATTCCCAATATTGTGCCAGTCAACAAGACTCATTACCAACACATTGTGGGAAAACCCATTTATTTCGTTTATAAACGCCCCGACATATGCCACACGGTTGGAATAGTGAGTCCTTGCATGCATGACCAACGAACACCATCTCCATGTTGTCCTTCGGATTCTCCACTATTTGAAAGGTACACTGGGCTCAAGTTTGATTTTCTCCCGTCACATCTGTCCTTTTTTATTTATACAGATGTTGATTGAGTTGGATCTATTCATTCTCGATATTCCAGCTCAAGATATTGCCCATTTGTATGGGGTAATTTTGTCATGCCAAAAAGTAAGAAATTGTCTAAGATTGTCTGAAGCGTGGTGAAGCTGAATTCCAGTCCATGTCCTTAGGAATTTGTGAATCTCTTTAGGTATGCATCATGCTCTGCGAACTACGTATGTCAGCCTCTGTCCCACTGCAGCTATTCTATGATAATAAGGCCCCAATCAGCATTGCTCATAATTCAGTCCAGCATGATTGTATCAAACATGTTGAGATCGACAAATACTTCATTAAGGAAAAGATCGAGTCAGAGGATATTTATGTTCCATATGTGTTCTCCAGTGATCAACTAGCGGACATCCTCACCAAGAATCTTCCTCGCACTTTGTTTGATGACTTCAAATCCAAGTTAAACATGACTGACATCTATGCTTCAATTTGAGGGGGAGAATTAGACTATAATGGCAATCCCTAGCTGTTATTATTTGTTATTTACTCTTATTTCATCATTATGTATTTCCTATTTTGTTTTATTTTGTTTTATTTTCGTTCCTGATTATTTTATTATTTTTATTCATTTCCTTTATTATGCCTATTGTAATTGGGTTTAAACACCCCTCCTTTTATCAATAACATTGTGCTGCTCTATTCCAAATCTCAACACTTACTATAATTTAGTTTTTTTATCTATTGTCTCTTAATATTGCCATCATTGCAGAGTTTATTTAATACTTTAATAACAAGCAATCTTTTCTCAATTGTAAGGTATAGGTTACTAATATGCACTTCAATAATTAAAAGAACATTAAACATCACCAAAAGGACATACAGGCAAGTGAGCAATACATTTGCAAACAATCGTGGCCAAATTTAATTCAACTATGGAAACAAAATACTAGATGACGACCATACAACAAAACTAAAAAATCAATAATAAAGCATGCACAACACAAAATAAAAGCACTGCAGATGAGACAGTTGAATAAAAGTAAAATCTCATTTTACAAAACAATCTCAAAATGAAGACGTGATTATTTCAAATCCATATCGACAGATACTTCATTAAGAAAAAGATCGAGTCAGGGGAGATTTGTGTTCCATATGTATTCTCCAGCGATCAACTAACAGACATCCTCACCAAGAATCTTCCTCGCACTTTGTTTGATGATGACTTCAAATGACTTCAAATTCAAGTTGAACATGACTGACATCTATGCTTCAATTTAAGGGGGAGAATTAGATTATAACGGCAATCTCTAGCTGTTATTATTTATTATTTACTCCTATTTCGTCATTATGAATTTCTTATTTTGTTTTATTTTCTTTCCTAGTTGTTTTATTATTTTTTATTTCTTTCCTTTAATATGTCTATTGTAATTAGGTTAAACACCCCTCCTATCACTAACATTGTGCTCCTTTATTCCAAATCTCAACACTCACTATAATTTAGGTTTTTATCTATTGTCTCTTAATATTGCCATCATTGCAGGGTTTATTTAATACTTTAATAACAAGCAACCTTTTCTCAATTGTAAGGTTTGGGTTACTGATATGCACTTCAATTAAAAGAACATTAAACAAAACCAAAAGGACATAAAGGCAAGTGAAGAATACATTTGCCAACAACCGTGGCCAAATCTAATTCAACTATGGAAACAAAAATACTAGATGACGGGCATACAATAAAACAAAATAATAAACAATAAAGCATGCACAACACAGAATAAAAGCACCACAAATGAGACTGCTGAATAAAAGTAAAATCTCATGTTACAAAACGATCTCATAATGGAGAAGTGATTATTTCAAATCCATAGTCCCTCCACTGATAAAGAAGAAGAAAGATAGCTTTGATTTTCATTACCTTTGATCCCAAAAGATTGGCCTCTGCATCAACGGCGTTGGAAAACTTCTTGTCCTCATCCTTTGGTGACAAGACTAAAAATAGATTAACATGTCATCAGTACATGTATACTGTATATTCAAAATGAGAAGTTTGCTGGAAAAAAAGGAAGAAAAAAAACAGAAAAAGTAAAACATGCAAAAGACATGTTATGGACTTCAACTGTTGGACTATAATGTAAACAACCTACTGCCAGGCAGAACATAAAAACATTGGGGCAGACGGTCAGCCAAAAAAAAGGCAGAATGGATACTACAAAAATATACATTCAATACTAATAATGAACTTTTAATTGATTCAAGTTATTTACTCCAACAGAATTTTGTAAATAGGCTTTTCTCAACTTGAATTGCTAAATCTGGAATATATAATTTCATATCAATTCCATCTTACTTTATGAATCTATATCTCTGGAATTTTTAGATTTAAAGAGATTCAACGGAATATCAAATCTTTCATAGCATACCTCACCACAATTTACAAATATGTAATGTTAACCTTGCCTTTATAAGGAAAAAATGAATCAACTTTTTTCGCATGATATTAGAGCATATTTCCAGAAACCGAAAAGGATATAATATTATATTTTTCTTCCTGAATAATTAAACTGATTAAAAATTAGTAATCAAAAAGGATATTATCAAGCTATTTATAATTATATAAAAATATGTGCAACTATTTTATAATTAATTAATATAAATTTAATTTAATTAATTACACGAAATTTGTATTAATTATTAATAAATCTAGTAAAAACTAATCAATGATTAAGCAATGAATAATGCTTGCTAGATAAATAATTAGTTTTATATTTTTTATTAAGAATTAATTAGTTTAGAAAATAGTTAATTATTTATTAACATAATTAGAAATAAAAAATTAAATTAAATTTCATTAGCTTTAATAATTACATCATTAATATGTAATATTTAATTTATATTTCAACTAAAAGACAAATCCTAAAATAAATTGTCAAAAAGTATTCAAGTTTAAACAGTGCATGATTTACTAATTCCGGATTTATAGGCTCTATTAAATCCTACTTGCAACCAAACAACCCCATAAGAATTGGTAGAAGAACTTTTAAGGTTAATAGCGGGAAAAGATCAATTTATATGCCTGGTACCGTTTTCAATGGTATAGAATTACTCCTGAAAATCAAAAGAAAGATTCCTCCGGATAGGATACTCACATAGCTGGTTCCATGTATCATGACTTTGTTGCTCGTCCAATTTTTCCAAAGGCGGTATGCATGATAAGACATTGTAGATTGTGCGAATAGAAATCTCCAGCCTGTTCAAAATTAGTGTAACCTAAGCCATGGCAAATAAAAATGGCTATGCTACAGAAGAAAATCTGCCATAGAGGAAAAAAGTGCCTTCACATCACAAAAAGTTATTTTTGCGGCATCAATGGGCATGCCAAAATTAATAAAAATATAATAATTATAACTAGCAGTTATTCCGAGAAAGCTAAAGGATTCAAATCCATTAACATACATCAGTCCAAAACATTTTTTAGCATGGAGTTATAAACATACCGTGATTCAGTTTCCTCTCTAGGATTCTGCAAATTATTTTTTTTGTCATCTGTCAAACCTTTAATAAACAAATCAGACTATTAATATAATGAGTGCAGCCAATTACAGGTTATGTAAGGATAACTTGACATCAATCATTTTAAAACCATCATAAATTTTCAAATGAAAAAAATAAGACATCATTACCAGTGGTAGTAGTAGTAGTTGAGTTGCAGTCCTTCGAAATTTTGTACAAACTAGTGTAAGTGAAATAACTGCACAGGTAAATCATACAATGGCATTTACAACTACAAGGCTAAAATGGTAAACAATAAGAGTGTAAATAATAAAATACAAAAAAAGTGTCAAGATCCTAACAAAACACAATGCAAAGAATTTGGCACCAAGAAGGAGGAGAATCCAAGTATAATACACGCACAACAAACAACTTCTTTCCTCCAAAAGTGCTTAACAGATTTCATTGAGTAAACTCAGTAAATTGCACAACAAAGTAAGTAACCTTTATCGTTAAATGTATCAACAAATATACCACATAAAACACATTTGCGCAAAACCAAGATGTTGTTTGATTGCAAGCAAAATGAGGGTAACGCATTACAAATGCAGGAAACTTGGAAATTTGGGTTTCTGGCTTGGAGAAATGGAATGAAGTATAAAATTGAAATGAAAATCAAAATGCAGTCTTCAGTTCATTTCAAGTGCAATCTAAATTCATCAAATTTAGATGATTTTTAAATAACTACAAACAGTGATCACTGTCGTCACCACCCACTGCATTTTAAATTGATTTCATTTTTTTTCATAACAAATAAAATACCATAAACTCCTACAATAATTTTATAATATGCTTCAATTACACTGCATTTCTGTTTTAACAAACCAAACGGCCCCTAAAAAAGTCCATCAATAAAAATATGAAAGAAAACAATTCTTTAGATTCCAAGACAAAATAAAAACTATCACCTTGGTGTGCTTTTTCTTCAACTACATCGTGTCAACAAGCTATTAAGTGAATAGAATACAAGAGATTAGATCATTGCCAACCAAAGAGCATCTAAGTAGATTATTTTTAGGTTTTCTTTTTAGTTAGTAACCATTGCAAGATTCAATACACATGTTAGGTTTGGTGTTAGGTTTGACACATAATGTTCCTGATAAACCAATAGCCCCACTAGAACAATTTCTATTAAAAGTATATTCCAGTGGAATTCATGTTTGCACCAAAAATAGATAAGTCAACAAAAAATAGATAATGCAAAAGCAAATATATAACGTATATCTATGTACTTGAAATACTTTGTTGAAAGCAAGTTCAATATCGGTTCCTTTATATTCCAAGACAAAATAAAAACTATCACCTTTGTGTGCTTTTTCTTCAACTACATCGTGTCAACAAGCTATTAAGTGAATAGAATACAAGAGATTAGATCATTGCCAACCAAAGAGCATCTAAGTAGATTATTTTTAGGTTTTCTTTTTAGTTAGTAACCATTGCAAGATTCAATACACATGTTAGGTTTAACACATAATGTCCCTGCTAAACCAATAGCCACACTAATTTTATAATATGTTTCAATTACACTGCATTTCAAACCAAACGGCCACTAAAAAAGTCCATAAATAAAAATATGACAGAAAACAATTCTTTATATTCCAAGACAAAATAAAAACTATCACCTTTGTGTGCTTTTTCTTCAACTACATCGTGTCAACAAGCTATTAAGTGAATAGAATACAAGAGATTAGATCATTGCCAACCAAAGAGCATCTAAGTAGATTATTTTTAGGTTTTCTTTTTAGTTAGTAACCATTGCAAGATTCAATACACATGTTAGGTTTGACACATAATGTCCCTGATAAACCAATAGCCACACTAATTTTATAATATGTTTCAATTACACTGCATTTCTGTTTTAACAAACCAAACGGCCACTAAAAAAGTCCATAAATAAAAATATGACAGAAAACAATTCTTTATATTCCAGGACAAAATAAAAACTATCACCTTTGTGTGCTTTTTCTTCAACTACATCGTGTCAACAAGCTATTAAGTGAATAGAATACAAGAGATGAGATCATTGCCAACCAAAGAGCATCTAAGTAGATTATTTTTAGGTTTTCTTTTTAGTTAGTAACCATTGCAAGATTCAATACACATGTTAGGTTTGACACATAATGTCCCTGATAAACCAATAGCCCCACTAAAACTATTTCTATTAAAAGTATTTTCCAGTGGAATTCATGTTTGCACCAAAAATAAATGAGTCAACAAAAACAGATAATGCAAAAGCAAATATATATCGTATATCTATGTGCTTGAAATATACCGTATATCTATGTACTTGAAATACTTTGTTGAAAGCAAATTCAATAACGGTTCACAGAAATTGCATTGTGTACCTGCATTTGTGAAGAATCATACATTTAATTACACAAGCAAGCACCACACAGTAAAACAATTGTAGAAAAGCATGTTAGAAGATATTTTTCCAAAAAATTCCCTTGATTTGAAAAAAAAAAGACCATTAATTGAGAAGTAACTTTTTATTATAGATAAAAGACATCAATTTGAATCTTAATTGCCAACCTAAAACAGCAATGAAAAGGTGATATCATTTGAAATTTTGAGCATAGCTTTTGTAAGCAGATTGGATTTAATCGAATAAGGTGAATCCCAAGTTTAAAGATATTTGAATCCAAATCCAACTTTGATACAAAATGCAATTATAAATAGTCAAACTGTATGGTTGATTGGTTGTTTTTGTGTGGAAACATCTTTTATGCATTCATTCATTCATTTATATGATTTGTTAAAGATTTATAATATTGAGTTAAACATGATTCTTTATGAATCAATCTAATTAAAGTGGTTTTATAATATCAATGCGTAATAGATGAATTATGCCAATCAATTTTCATGCCTCCCTCAAAAGATTTTCATTCAAATAAACTATTTCAACACGAAAATTATTGAGATCAACGTGTTGAATCAATCTAATGGTATTGCTTCTATAAAAAGTAAAATTAAACGCAGATGGACTTGAAGATAAGCAATAAAAACACTTCAACACTTCAAAATATCATGAAAATTCAAAGAGTTTTCCATTTAAAAAACATATTATATTTCTAACTTCAACCAACATGACCTCTACCAATTGCAAGTTTAAAAAAAATGTGGCAAAGAAGATCATCACAACTGTTAAACGCATAATCTCCGATAACAAAGTCCCGTCATGTTCAACTTTCTTTAAAACAACTAAAAACAGATTCGAGTTAATGTAAAGGTCCACGATTAAAAGCATGATTAGTCAAAAAATTAAGTGTCGCGTACTACATTAGAGATATAAAATGTGTTTCTAATACCAGCTACTACTGTGGTCAACCAAAAAATCAAGGAATAAATGCAGTTATCTTACAATTTCTCAATGTCTAATAGTTACTACTATCCACCATCATGTTTAATATGTTAATATTGTTATATTGTCACTTGTGATGCAAAAAAATAGGTTAAGATCTATTAATGCAACTAATATAATGTGTAGTATAATTTCATGCAAAAGAAATTGAGGATTTCACAAATCACACAACACCAATTAATTCAGTAACTGACTTTTTTTAAATGCATCAAATAAAATTAGAATAATACTCCAACTAACAAGGACATCACCAAAATAGCCAAAAATATCCAACAACAAAATTGAAATAAAAAATCAACATAATATTGAATTTATTTCCAAAAAACATACTTCCTATAAGACAATTATTACTCAAAATCAAGAATATTAAACATGCCAATATCAAATTATATAGATAAAATGGAACACAGAACAAAAATACCAAAGTTAAAAAAAAATTAAGCCTTCATGTCGATACAATGAGATGACTTCTCTCTGAAGTAAGTAGCACACTTGTGCATTATTCAAAGGAATCTCACATCCAATTTAAAATCACAAAATTAATATTAGAAGGTGAAATTTTGTTCAAACCAAATAAAAAATTTCAAATTATATGCCTCTAAACAATAATTTATGTTCTTCAGGCTACTAGATATGGTTGGTGTGATTTTTGGAAAAGAAGAAAAGATTACTCTTCTTCGATTTCTTATGAAATAATTACAAGAAAAAAAGAGGATGGCTCCCACATTATGAAATACAAAAAAAAATAGTCATAACTCTACATGATAAAGGAAGGAAACAAGAATTAGAACATATCAATAATTTTATATTCTAAATATAGAAAGTACTAAAATAGAAGATACTAAAAAATATTTTTAAAATTCCAACAGTTAGTATAGAATATGTTTAATCTAAATTTAAAATTAATTGCAAAACTTAAACAAATCACTTAGCCATTAATTTTAAATCACATGCCTCAATCTGCCATTGTAAATAGCTAACAATAGCTTCAATATTGCAGGACTTCAATGTGTATACAGCTCATATACCAGAAACTCTATTTGGAAGTCTTGCACAAGCCCAACTTCATAAAATTGTGTGAGCTAACCCAACTATAAGAATTGCTCACGCACAGAAAAAATGCGATACCAATAATACAACTCCCAATATTCCTGAGTGGAAGCAACAACAGCTTCTATCCATAGCAATCTGAATACTCGTAGCTAAAGCCATTCCACCGTATAAGAGAAATCATATGACATTAAAATGAAAAAAGAAACCTAAGAGCAAGTGACACCGTTAAAAAACAGATATTCAAAGTAACCATTAACGTAACTACCATAGTTAAGAATATCATACTAAACCAACTAACTAAACTATGAATAGTAGCCCTAACTGGTTCACTCCATAATTATATAATTTTTGTTAAAAAAAGACAAACTAGAATAAAAAATAATCAACAGTTGGACCTACAAACCAGTGAGTTACACACAATTTCATAGGAGTCGCACGAATCATGCTATGATCAAATTACCAATAGTTATATTAATTAAGATGAATTAAGACTAAATCTAGATATAAAAAATTTAGAACCTATATTTATTAGATAAATTATAAAATTATAAAAATTTGTTTATGGCCAAAACTAAATCTTGCTATAACTAATTTAGAGCAAAATTTATTAAATAAATTAAAAATATATAATTTTGCATATGGCTAAAAATGGAGTCAATTATTTACATTAGAAACTGCTTAAATATAAAATGATAAAATATATTTCTTGTATACAATATATATTTCATACAGTGACTTTCTTTATTTTTCATTACATATTTGCATCATAATTAAGTTATTCTAAAACATTTAAATATTCCAAATATTTATTAAAACGTTCAATTCAAACCTTAGTTAAATTCTAGCTAAACCACTATACCTTAAGGGGTTGTTTGGCTAAATATAGAATTTAACTCAAGTAAGATTTAGAAAATCTTGTAAATCCGAATTTGGTAGATCATGTATAGGTTAAATCAAAAAACTATTTTGCATGATAGTTATGGAAATCTTATTAAATTCAGGTCAATCTTATTAAATTCAGGTCATCTGACTTGCTGCCCTAATATTTAGTAAAAGCTTCAGAAATGGAGAAGGAAGCACTTACTTCAATCTTAATCAATTAATATTAATCAATAAAGTGATTTAATTTTTGTCAATTACATTTACATGAATTTAACCATAATTAGTATATATAATATTCTAAGTGATCGTTGATTAAAAATTCAAAAATTTAATTAGATGTTATTATTTAATCAAATTAAATTATAAAAAGTTATTAATTAAGTTAATATATTATTAATTAGTGAAACTAACCACTATATAAATATGAAAATTAAAATAAAAAAATGTCTCAACAACCCTAGTAACTAAAACCTTCTCCCCGTTCTGACACAGAGGAAATCAACACTTGAGTAGATTTTAATTTGTACATGAACAATCCAAGGAATATAGCTCTGAAAACTAGATTACATTGTTATGAATTGATATTGGCAACTAAACATATTGGCAGACAAACTAACTTAAAAATAGTCTTAAATCATTTGACGTAAGTATTCCAAAAACTATCTTCTCCATAGGCGTTCGCTAGTCACAAAATTGACTAAAAAACTTATCCTCGCACCATCCTCCACCATCTAATCGCAAGCACATGATTTTTTTAATCTGCTCATTCTCCAAAAGGCCACTACAAATTTTGAAACAAGCAAAAAAATCAAATTTGTTTCTCAAAAAATAAAATGAGTATGACATGCACAGTGAGCCAACAAGGGATACTACTAGTGATGATTCGTAGTCACTAAACAGTGTTCAATCCCATTCAAATCTTTGAGAAAAAAACATTTATGTTTCCAAAAACAATCCTTGCAGTAATTGGAATCCAAAGGCTTTAATTTGAAACATATCATTTGAATGCAGTATACTGATGCTTTCATCGTATGCCCCAACCTTCACACCTTGTGTGCGTGATTCATAATTTCTTACATTATTTCAATATTTTAAGTCATATGTATTATAGCATCTTCACTGCCATGGGTATCACTATACACCCCTCGGTTACCTTTTAAATATTAGCATAGAAGATAATGATATTATCTTCTTCATACAAAAGCCCAATGAAGATTAAGCTCCATTTCAAAGTTCCAATTAGATTCACAATTGGAAACCTCTACATATTTTCATTCACAGTTTAATTTGAAAATCATCATAAGATAAACTTACATAATTTCATGCATAATAGTTAGACATGAGCTCTTTATGTGAAGTGGAGTTCAAAATCAATGACTAAAACCATAACTATAATTCTATGGAACCATCAAAAATGAGAATTATTGCATTATAAATCTCTTTTATTAAAGAATTCACAAATTCTTCCATCATATTTGAATTTTTTCAGTTTTTTTTATCGTGCATGATCTCTTTTCCTGTGGATTTCCCACACTGCCAACATGCGTCGCTGCAAACTATAGACTAGCTTCTTCTATAAGATGGATTTTAACCATTTCCCCTTCCTGTATATCTCCTATACTTTCATGGTTCAAAGCAAGTAAATATAGCTTCATCATATTTTAGTCTTTGGATTCCCTCACTCGGAAATTAAGATTAGAGAAATTTACAAATGTAGCACACAATTCTTATGTATTTACATCCTACATCTAAATTCTCATATTTACATTCATGGCACTTTGGTGCTTTAAGCCTATATGCATGAAAAAATGTATTTCACTTTTAAAAAACGACAATAGTGCTATGTCTGTGATATTAAAGATTTGAGCAATGTGTTTTAATATGAAAGTTTAGGTGTGAGATATGTAAATACATAAGAATTGTGAACTGTGTGTGTAAATTCCCCTTAAAATTATGGCATATATGTAAATAAGCTACATCTCCATAAGTGTAAAATGCTAGCTTACGGCTATCGCAGTTCCGCCCTAGCCCTTCGAAAGTCACGACAACAAGCTCAACGCACAAACTTAATTAGCTTATGATCAAATTCAAATTGTTAATATGTTCTATTTGCAAAAGCATATACTACTATCCTAAAGGTAAAGAAATCTTATGATCTTGTCATTAAAATACCTCCTATGTTATCAAAGCTGCTCAAACATGCATGACTTCTAGCATTACTCTCATCGCTCCAATTGTAATCTAGTAATGTGATCAGATGAGGGATGACCTTCTTCATAAGTGTTAGGCAAACAACTATCAACAACTTCCTCTCCAAAAGATCCCAATCTTCTTAACTCATGGTTATAAGCTTCATCTATAAGAGAGATGGATGATCCTCAATTTTAAAACCTGAACAACCATTGCTACCACTTTTCCATTAGGACCGAACATTTAGCTCAAATGTTGATGATTTAGAAAAGTTTTTGTGCATGCCAAGAGTAGGGATAAAAAACTACAAGGAGAAAAAAAAGGTTACAAAAGTTAAGTGGCTCTTGGAGTTCATCTTGCACACATCTACAGACAAAAAAATAAAATTTATTTTGGTTTCAAATGTGTGTACAAAATGATAGTCACTATATCATTTCTACTCTCTCTCTCTATATAACACCACTCTCCTCTCCTAACTCCCTTATTATTTAATCAGCACAAAATAGTATCCCAATATATATAAGGAATATCGTGATGGTACAGGTGACCACCCATTTATTAAGAATGTAAGCAGAAAAAGTGGGAAAGCAGCACTCTTTTTCTCAGAGTTAGAAATTTCAACCCTGACTGACAAATTCAAGTTTGCTCTTATTGGAAAATTTCAGTGGGGGCACCCATCTATGAAAGTTATCAGGAAAAGTTTTGATGATCTCAAATTAGTAGCAAAGTGAAAAGTGGGGCTCATTGATGGAAGACATGATTTGATTCAATTAATCGTAGCTGAAGACTACACTCAGATTTTCTTTAAAAAATATCTCAGCATTGTTGGTAAATCAATGAAGCTACTCAAATGGTCTCCTTATTTTGACCTCAATCATAAACCTCCTACTGTACCGGTATGATTCAGTCTACCAGGTCTCAAGCTGCACTTTTTTATCATCGGGTTCTTTACTCTATTGGGGTCATACTTAGGGACCATATGAAGCTAGATCTACTGACTTTCAACCTAACCAGACCTTCTATACCCCGAATACTTGTGGAAAGAGATATTACTTTACATGATGTTACTGAAGTCTGGTCGAGCACAACTCATAATGGATATTGGTAACAAATTGTCATGGAGCATAGACTGCCTTACTGTTCTCATTGTAAGATGTTTGGGCATACACTTGATAAATATTATAAGTTTCATCCTAATTTGAAATCTAAATCTAAAGATCAAATTTAATCTCACTACTCTGGACATATCTGTTCCATCTGGAGAGAAAGCTATCACAGGACAGATTTTGGATATCGCTAAAGATCAGTCACCTACCATCCCTGCCGAGAAGGTGCAAACCGATCCTTTACCCAACATCGTAGTTCCTGATGAAGAACATCATACTACAGGTACAGATCCAAAAGTGTTTATATCACTCACTGTTATTGAAGAAGATTTACTTACATGCCAAGACACACGTGAGTGCTTCTTTGATTCAATCAAAGATCAACTGGTACAACAAGCAATTACTTCTAATGTTCAACATCATACACATGTCCGACACACTTTAGACAAATCCACTGATCAGGCGAGCCCATCTTAGGATGAGGAATGACAGGTCTATTCCAAGAGGAAGAAGACTGGAGGTCGACTCGAGCTTGGAAACTTATTGGATGATACTTTGGTCACTACTGACAATGACACTCATCTTACCAATTTATTAGTTGGCTCCTTTCCTAGAACTAGAGGTAGAGGTAAAGAAAAATTAGGTCTCTTTCTAGCTACCTGATACTACGTTTTTTGGCATTTTTTATTTTTTTCTTTAGGTCTCTTATAATTTTCCGTATTTTTTCTTTTTTGGAACCATTCGTATGTTATTGTTATCGTGGGGGAAGGGTGTCATGCTTGGGCCCTTCCACACAATTTATATGTATCCTTATTTCCTTTTACACCTCAATGTTCACATGGTTTAAATTATTATGATGTAGACAATAATTAAACCCAAGACTTTACAACAAGTTCATGACCCCAACCAACTGAACTAATTTAACCCTTAAAATATAATTTCCTTTCTTGTTTAATATTCCTCTATTCAGAAATCCTTATATAAATCAAAAGCCACATTACAATAAAGGCTTAAGAAAATCATCACTCTGTCACTCTAATGCAAACCCCTCGAACAACCAATGACCACTTTAGTTGAAAATCTCTTTAAGCAAGCATCACTCCAATGATGATCTCAATCACTTGCTAAGGATTGGGGCAAATCAACTTAATTGTTGGGCATGCTTACCGCACGTTATCATCTTTATAGGGAATCTCGTCGACAATTATAAGAAATGATGCCACTCAACACTCCTCACAAAGCCCTCCCACTAGTAGACTTCAAAATGTAATCCCTTTGTCCACCTTGTCGAACAAGACCACTGGCTAGGGTTGCAAAAAAACCAATCCGCTTACCAAATTACTAGTGGCATAGCTCAATTAAAACTAACTCAAGTCAAATCAGCTTTAAAATATCTATAAATACTTATTTGATTAATGAACAAGCCTAAACAACTAGGTGCTTGATTCATTTATGATCAAGAATAATACAATTTTGAGGCTCATGGACAAACTCACTAATAAGCTCAATTAAATCTCAATATAAAATTCCTAATTTTAATAAATGTTTTTAGTTAATTAATATTAAGTTAATTTTATTTAAAATAACTTATTTATTAATATCAACTAATATTATTTCTTTGGAAATTTATTAAATTTTAAAATTAAAAATTTGATGCTCAAAATCTCAAGGTGAATGGAGCATCTTTACTTTAGTAACATGTTCACAAATAACCAAAATCCTCGTATTTCTTCATCTAAAATCCCTACAAAAATACGCAAGAAAGGCAACAAGAACAGTTCCATTAATTGGCAGGAGGAAAAACTTCAATAATTACACCAATCTATAGTTATATGTATTAGTCATTCAGAACTATGACCACTTACTATGCTCTTAAGAAGTTTGTGGTAAATTGCAGAATTAAACCTTCCATCCTTTCCCTGCTTCACAAAATCCATAATCGCATCAAGTGCCACATCCTGAAAAAAATTAATCATCCAAAAATCCGCCATTAGGAACCACTCAAAAAATACAGCACTACGAAAAATAATACAAAAGCCAAGATACATACTTTAATAGCCTCAACAGACGTGTATGAAACCGCAATCTCTATCAGAGTGTTCACCAAAGTGTCGAAACTGACCCGAAGCCAAGAACTGTAAATGGCATCCAGATCCTCCTCTGATCCAGTTTGCTTGGAAATGAATGAAGTCGAGGGAAGTTCTGGGAGAAGAGGAAGGAAGAAAGATTGAAGGGAGATAAGGGATTCTAGCAGAAGGTCAGCTGGAGATCGTGGAGAGAGAACAGAAAGGAGGATTGGAAGATTATTTACGTGAGCCCTGGATGAGAGGAGCTGGAGGCCTAGGATTTTAAGATCCTCTACTGTTAGGTTTTCCCCTCTTTTGTTATCCTTTTTCTTAGTATGTTGCTTCTTCTGCATCTTCTCTGGAGGAGAAGCCATACGCTACAGCAGTTAACGCTACAGAGAAGAAGAATTATCAGGTTGTCATGGCTTCAACATTTGGGAGCTGTTTGGTAGGAGGAATTGAGTAGGGTTTAACCTAGTCCTGCCAGACGGCGAAGATGACTCGGATTTAACCTAGTGCGGCCAATCTTCAACATTTAGAGCAGGATTTAACCTAGATTTTGCCTAAATCTTGCCAGACGGTCATTTTAGACAAAATAACGCCGTGGTTTGAGAAATCCGGATTTCACTGTTTCTGCCTTAAATCCCGGAATTACTAAATCAGTTGATTTGGCAAAATCTGGAAGGGCTTTCGCGCAAAAAGGACTTCCGGTAGGAGGCGGAAGGAGGAGAAAGATGGGATCTACGCCGTTGCCTTCCCGGGTATCTCTGTTCGCGACAGTATCGCGAGGGTTCGGTCACGAAGGCGATGGTTTTGAGCGAAACCGGGAAGCGGGAGAGGGGTGGTGAAGTGGCGAGGAATTCGGGCAGAGGGGTTTCGTGCACAGAGGAGAGGGGAAGAAGAGAAAGGTTTGTGATTTTTTTTAAGCTAATTTTATTATTTTAATTGAGCAATAATTATTAAATTATTACTTAAAAAAATTAAATAAATTTCGATATAATCATTTAATAGTTAATTTATAAATAAAAATATATAAAATTTATATTGTTAATTCAATATTAAGTAATTCTTCATTAATATAATTAATGACTAATTAAAGCATGAATAATGTTAAATTTATATTTAATGATTTATTAATTTAATATTTTTATTAATAATTAATTTGTTTAGTGAATCATTAGTTATTAACTAGCATAATTAAAACTAAAAAAATTGAATTTAATTAAATTTAATAATTAATTTTTATTGTAGTAATAAATTGATAGATTCAATTTTTTTCTAACAAATACAACAAATTTTCAAAATCATGATTAAGTTGTTAAATAGTTTGACAGAATTTAATTGAATTTATTAAATAGGCTGTCAACAATTTTTGAGGCTTAAACCCTTATTTCATATACTAAATTTCAAATACCACTAATTTAAATTCAATATGTTTTCATCCAATTAAATCTTTTATTTTCCTCCATTTTTCCTTAAATCTTGGATTTAGTAGATCGAGGCATTGGACAGATTTAACTTAAAATATTGCAATTCACACAAACTCATCTTCTTCACACGTCTCTCTTCCAATCAACATATTTGATCTAACTAAGAAAGATTCTAGTAAATCCAATAAATTCGTATTTGGTAAATTCTGAAAAGGTTAAATCCTAAAATTGTTCGATTACAGATTTAGTAAAATCCATTAAATCATTTTAATGTTTGGCAACTACTCCTAAGATTTAAAAGGTGGTTATGTTTGTTAGAAAAACGTAATAATTAAACTTTAAGTATTTTATTATTATGATAAAAACTAATCTTTAATTATAATTAAATTAAATCTAAATTTTATTTCTAATTATACATATGAATAATTAATTATTCACAAGACTATTTATTTGTTAATACATTTTTATTAAATTAATTACTCATTAAAAAATAATATAATATTAATCAATTATTAATGATATTAATATAAATTTACTTAGAATTTTTATTAAATAATTTAAATTTTAAATCATACTTTTATTCGTTAGTTAATTATTAAATAATTACATATAAAAAATTTTTATTGTAATTAATTTAAAAATATATTAATTAATTATTAATCAACAAAACAAATAAAACTAAATAAATAAAAATAAATTAAAATGATAAACCAATCTTCCTCTAATCCCATGTGCCCAAACCACGCCTAAATCCTCACCCAGCATTGTCCAAACTTCTTATTTTTGCCAAAAAAAACCTTCACTTATGTCCTCCCCTTCCTTTTTTTGCCCAAAACCATCGCCTTTGTGAACAAATCGTTGCAATACAGTCACATTAAGAGCTAGAAGGGAAGGCAACAACACATCGCGGCATATGCATACAAAGACAGCCAAAACTCGTCTTTCTCATCTTTATGCTCCTTCCAAAAATCATTGAGGAATATGAGCATGTTCTTCTCACTTCCTTTTGACTTGTTTCAGATTTATTAAATCTAGCGATTTACATTGATTTAATAAATATAGAATTTATGGCTGAAATCCATTTTCTTCCATTTTTCAGCCATAAAATCCATATTTAACAAGCACAAATGCATAAAAGATGTCTGAACAAATGTAAACTTGCAAAAATCGTTTTAATCAGCTTCTTAATTTATATCTATTGTAATATAATTTTGTTTGTTTTCAATTGAATTATGTTATATTATATTATAATTATTTGTTATATCTCTTCAATTACACATTGTATTTGCATTTTTAAATTATTATTTTGAAAGCAATGTTTTATCATCAAATTAGTTTATTAATAGTCATGTTTGATTGCCTTAACCAATAATTTGCATCACCATCTAACAATTTGTGTGTGTGTGTGTATGTGTGCGCGCGCGCGCAGGCAGTTTAGGGTATAGTTTTATTTTCTGTTCTCATAACTTCTTTAGTTGTAGTACCAAAACTTTTACTCTAGTTTTATTGATTTGATTTTTTAGTAGTTGTCTATCACTAACAATAGTAATGCAGAGGAAAGCCAATTTAAAATTTCTTGAAAGGGTGATACCTCCCAAACTCATAACCATGACATCCATTTTAGCAATAGAATTATCGAATGCAAGGTGTTATTTAGAGGAATGAGGATAAAAAAGGTTTTATTTTATTATTGAATGAGAGAATTCTGCCAAAAATAAATAAGCATTAGCTATGTTGCTATAAGGGACGTCATTTTTAATGGTAGTTAATATAGAGGTTATTATTAAAATTATATAATAATATTAAATACAATTAAGCAGAGGAAAATGGTCAGTGGTGGATAATTCGCAATTAAAACTAAATTATAAACATATTAATTGAATTTTAAGCATTTCTAATGTGTTTGGTATCACTCATAGCTTATTTGATATAGATGAATTAGTGAATAAGATCAAACAATGTTAGAGACATTGTTGGACATAGAGCATGATTGATTACAATTATAATCACACATGATGATTTTACTCGTAAATAATAGTTTAGGTGGATATTTTTGCAAAAAGGTTTGTTGAGACTATTTATCATTTACCTATCTTACAACATATTACGTAAGGTTTCAAATAAATGTTGTCACATTGGTGGATCATTGTTTAAGCGCATCAAATGAGATGGACTTGCAAAATGGTAAATTTCTTTCTAGGAGTGAACAAATTAAAAAAAAAAAATCAAATGGGACGTGACATGATAATGCAAAGCCTTATAATTGTAAGTAGAATAAAGTTGAGATTGGTAGAAAATTTAAGGAATATGCAGTAGATGTTAGAAATGATCATATCATCACCAAAAATTAATCGCAAACATATATGCACATGCTCTATACAAATGAAACTACTTAATGGTTGAGGCATTATAAAGAAATTTTTGTAGAGGAACTTCAAAGTGGGTTGGAATTAGCAATATTAGAATGTAATAAAAAGTTATACTAAACTTCTATTTTATTATATTAATATTGTAACTACTTGGATTTAATATAGTGTTTTTTTGTAGAACATGAATGATATAATGTTTATTATTGCAATGTGGTGTAAAAACATAAATGATATAATGCTTATTTTTGCCTATTGCTTAACATTTCCCTATAAAAGGCAAGAGAATATTCAACGTGCCAAAATTCAAACTGAACAGGAACAATACTTAGCTATCATTTATTATAATTATGACCTTAAAGTTATGCTCACATTTATATTTTACCATAATTTTATGTTTGTTATATATATTATTCTTCACTTAGGCAAATAACCTCAAAATCCTATCGCTTGTGATACACATAAAATATATAGTATTCATGTACACATTTTTATACCTATTTTTTAGGAAATTGCACTTTAATAGAAGGTATTTGTGTGTTTTTCTTTCAGGTACAATCAAATGAATGAAAAATGGTGAAAGGAGTGAAAAAGGATTAAATTTAGAGCAAAAAAAAAGGTGTGCAAATGAAATGTGGTGCCTAAGAGCTTAGAACTGGTGTTTAAGTCTAGAAAAATCTAGAGAGTCATGCCTAAGCGCCACATACCTCGCGCTTAAATGTCAGAGGTAGTTACTTGATGATTCAATTAATTTGGATGAATTTTTGAAGAGGTGTTTGAAGTAACTCTTGGTGAAAATGAGGGTTATGGTTAATGGACACAAAAATACATTCAAATGACTTTTGAAAGATAGCAACTCTTGGAAGATTCATTGAATGTGGACATATTTTGAAGAAACACCAAAGCACCTTTTGGAAAATTATAAAAGAAGGACTTAGACTGAATGAAAAGCTCCCCTCCCCCCTCTAGACGCCACCGTCGCCCCTTCTCTTTAAGACTTCTTAAATTAATTAGGATACTTTTGAAGAGAAGAAGGACAGGAGTTGTAGTGTGTGAGTAGATAGCATTGTGAGAGAAAGGAAGAGAAGAGATTCAAATGAATTTCAAGAGTTTGGTGGAGAGGAAATTGAGATAAGAATTGAGATAAGTATTGAGATAAGTTTTTATCTTTGTGACTACATTTTATTTTAATTGAGACTTCTTGTGTGTTTGCATGATTTTTACTTTTAAAATTAAGTGTGTTTGTGTTTTCTCCATGAATTTAGAGTAACTTTTTTTTTTCCTTAAAATGATAAGTAATTAAGTGTTGGATGGAAGTTGTGTGAAGTATTAATCTTTAATGTTGTAATAAGTTGTTAATAAGTTGTGATAAGTTGTGATGATTTTAAACTTTATACCTCATTTACTTCTTCGTTTGGCCAAGTAAGATGTTAATATCTACCGTGAGAATATGTAAGATCTAAGATGGTATTGTCTCAGTCAACTAATGGTAAGAATCACATAAGATTGTATGGATGAGAATGTAATTCATATTATTGTGTGCAAATAAATTGGGAAATAAACTTTAAAAGGTGTAGAGTTAGATGACTTTAGAGTGACAGGCTAAAGTCTCAAATTTGGCTTATTGTTTTAGGTTTTGATACGAGATGTTAGCCTTTAGGTGGAGGGAGAAGAGAGAACTCTAGAGTGTGAGCTAGCATCTTTCCTAACTAGCCCGTCTTCAAGACTATTCAAACTTTAAATTAGCCAATGTTCTTTGTAGCATCTCTAATAATTGCTCCTATTTGGCACAACACAATTTGAATAATTTCATAAAAAAATTTCTATATTTACTATTGATTCATGATAAGGAAAAAGATATTGTATTTATATTGTCTTCATCTTACAAATATCTAGTTAAATTTAGTTAGTTGTTTACTTTATTTTCAATTATCTAAAATTACCAAAAAGAATGAAACTTTCATTCTTATTATAGCATCTATAGTTTGAGTAAGAATATTTTTTCAGAACCGTGTTTGTTATCTAATTCCTTATTAACAAATTGTAATTCTCCCTGTGGGTTCAATATTCGTGGCTTAATAAAAAAACCTATATTACTTG